GTACCACTATAACCCCGCCTCCGCCTGCTTCACCTCACCTCACTACAGTATATAAGCCACGTCTACCGCCCTGTGCTGTACTTTCTACAAGATTGATGGACTGAACACATCGACTCCAGGCTGAGGGACTGATTACCTCAAATTCCACCTCTCCTTATACCTTTCTGCTTTGTATTGGACTGTTGAAGCCACTGTGTGGCGAAATGCTTCCCAAATAAAGATTCCCAAAATACTGGACAAATGTCTCATTCTTCAACATATACTGTGTTTATGTATAATTTTTTTTGTATGTTTCTCGAGACACAACCATTATTAGCGGTCACCGAGACGGGTGGCCATTAGTAGTGCGGTCGCCGTCGCCGTCGCCGCTACGCTGCCCAGGGAACCGCTGCTGCAGAAGGTTTCTCCTTGTGGAGGAGAAAATTGAAGAGAAAGAATACAAGAGAAATTCTGAGAGCGTCCCAGCAACACAAGTATTGTGGTAGAAAACAGAGTTTGAAACACCGTCAACGTGAACTCTAAATCTCGTTGTTCCAGACTGCTTGGTGGCGTCCCACGGTAACTGTTGCGTCCCTCCATGACTCACAGTAACTGGTGCGTCCCTCCATGACTCACAGTGACTGGTGCGTCCCTCCATGACTCACAGTAATGGTACGTTCCTCCATGACTCACAGTGACTGGTGCGTCCCTCCATGACTCACAGTAACTGGTGCGTCCCTCCATGACTCACAGTGACTGGTGCGTCCCTCCATGACTCACAGAAATGGTACGTTCCTCCATGACTCACAGTGACTGGTGCGTCCCTCCATGACTCACAGAAATGGTACGTTCCTCCATGACTCACAGTAACTGGTGCGTCCCTCCATGACTCACAGTGACTGGTGCGTCCTTCCATGACTCACAGTGACTGGTGCGTCCCTCCATGACTCACAGTAGCTGGTGCGTCCCTCCATGACTCACAGTGACTAGTGCGTCCTTCCATGACTCACAGTGACTGGTGTGTCCCTCCATGACTCACAGTGACTGGTGCGTCCCTCCATGACTCACAGTAATGGTACGTTCCTCCGTGACTCACAGTAACTGGTGCGTCCCTCCATGACTCACAGTGACTGGTGCGTCCTTCCATGACTCACAGTAACTGGTGCGTCCCTTCATGACTCACAGTGACTGGTACGTCCCTCCGTGACTCACAGTAACTTGTGCGTCTCTCCATGACTCACAGTGACTGGTGCGCCCCTCTATAACTCACAATAACTGTTGCGTCCCTCCATGACTCACAGTGACTGGTGCGTCCCTCCATGACTCACAGTAATGGTACGTTCCTCCGTGACTCACAGTAACTGGTGCGTCCCTCCATGACTCACAGTGACTGGTGCGTCCCTCCATGACTCACAGTGATGGTGCGTGGCTCCATGACTCACGGTAATTGTTGCGTCCCTCAATGACTCACAGTGATGGTGCGTGGCTCCATGACTCACGGTAACTGTTGCGTCCCTCAATGACTCACAGTGACTGGAGCTTCCCTCCACGACTCACAGTGACTGGTGCGTCCCTCCATGACTCACTGTAACTGTTGCGTCCCTCCATGACTCACAGTGGCTGGTGCGTCCCTCCATGACTCACAGTGACTGGTGCGTCCCTCCATGACTCACGGTAACTTTTGCATCCTTCCATGACTCACAGTGGCTGGTGCGTCCCTCCATGACTCACAGTGACTGGTGCGTCCCTCCACGATTCACAATAATGGTACGTCCCTCTTTGACTCACAGTGACTGTTGCGTCGTTCCATGACTCACAGTAACTGGTGCGTTCCTCCATGACTCACAGTAATGGTGCGTCCCTCCGTGACTCTCAGTGACTGGTGCATCCCTCCCTCCCTCCCAGTAATGGTACGTCCCTCCGTGACTCACAGTGGCTGGTGCGTCCCTCCTCGACTCACAGTAACTGGTGCGTCCCTCCATGACTCACAGTAACTGTTGCGTCCTTCCATGACTCACAGTGACTGGTGCGTCCCTCCATGACTCAGTAACTGGTGCGTCCCTCCATTACTCACAGTAACTGTTGCGTCATTTAATGACTCACAGTGACTGGTGCGTCCCTCCATGACTCACAGTAAGTGTTGCGTCCTTCCATGACTCACAGTAACTGGTGTGTCCCTCCACGACTCACAGTAACTAGTGTCTCTCCTCGACTCACAGTAACTGGTGCGTCCCTTCATTACTCAAAGTAGCTGTTGCGTCCTTCCATGACTCACAGTGACTGGTGCTTCCCTCCACGATTCACAGTAAGTGGTGCGTCCCTCCACGACTCACATTAACTGGTGCGTCCCTTCCATAGCTCACAGTGACTTGTGCGTTTCTCCTTGACTCACAGTGACTGGTGCGTCCCTTCCATGTCTCACAGTGACTGGTGCGTCCCTTCCATGACTCACAGTGACTGGTGCGTCCCTTCCATGACTCACAGTGACTGGTGCGTCCCTCCATGACTCACAGTAACTGGTGCGTCCCTTCCATGACTCACAGTGACTGGTGCATCCCTCCATGACTCACAGTGACTGGTGTGTCCCTACCATGGCTCACAGTGACTGGTGCGTCCCTCCATGACTCACAGTGACTGGTGCGTCCCTCCATGACTCACTGTAACTGGTGCTTAATTCTATGACTCACAGTGACTGGCGCGTCCCTCCATGACTCACTGTAACTGGTGCTTAATTCTATGACTCACAGTGACTGGTGCGTCCCTCCATGACTCACAGTAACTGCTGCGTCCCTGCATGACACACAGTAATGTTGCGTCCCTCTGCGATTCTCAGTAACAGGTGGGGGTAGCCATGACACACAGTAACTGGTGCATCCTGTCACGACGTGAGTCGTGACAGTCTTGTTGCAAACCTTTGCACTTTCTCCAATGTCTTGACCTGCTAGACAGATGTAGGTTCCAAACTGGTGCTGCATACTTCAATATGCGCCTGACGTACATGGTGTAGCAGTTATCTGGTTGATGTGCGCTTAGGAGATATGCTCGGTATGATACTCACCCCAAGATCCTTTACCTTAAATAAAATTTGCAGCTTTTAACCACCTTAGACTGTACTCCGTTTACGGTCCTCTTTGACCTTCCCTAACTTCATGACTTTGCACTTCGTGGGGTTAAATTCCAGGAGCCAATTGCTGGACCAAGTGTGTGTAGGGGGAAGGGAGATGTTTGTGTATGTGTGTGTAATCACCTAATTGTACTCACCTATTTGTGGTTGCAGGGGTCGAGTTACAGTTCCTGGCCCCGCCTCTTCACTGGCAGCTACTGGGTCACTCACTCCCTACTCTGTGAGTTTTATCATACCTCCTCCTAAAGCTATGTATGGATCCTGCCTCCACCATCTTTCGTTCCAGACTATTCCACTTCCTGACAACTCTGTGAAGAAATACTTCCTAACATCCCTTTGACTCATCTGAGTCTTCAACTACCAATTGTGACCTCTTGTTTCTGTGTCCCATCTCTGGAACATCCTGTCTTTGTCCACTTCGACAGTTCCTCGCAGTATTTTATATATCGTTAACATGTCTCCCCTGACCCTCCTGTCCTCCAGTTTCGTCAGGCCGATTTCCCTTAACCTTTCTTCGTAGGACAATCCCCGTAGCTCTGGGACTAGTCTTGTTGCAAACCTTTGCACTTTCTCTAATATCTTGACGTGCTTGACTAGGTGTGGATTCCAAACTGGTGCTGCATACTCCAGTATGGGCCTGATATATATGGTGTGTGTGTGTGTGTGTGCATGTACTCACCTAATTATGGTTGCAGGGGTCGAGACTCAGCTCCTGGCCCTGCCTCTTCACTGAGTGCTACTAGGTCTGCTCACTCTCCCTGCTCCATGAGCTTTATCATACCTCACCTTAAAACTATGTATGGTTCCCACCTCCACTACATCACTCGCTAGGCTATTCCACGGCCTGACTACTCTATAACTGAAGAAATACTTCCTAACATCCCTTTGACTCATCTGGGTCTTCAACTTCCAATTGTGACCTCTTGTTTCTGTGTCCCCTCTCTGGAACATCCTGTCTTTGTCCACCTTGTCTATTCCATGCATTATTTTGTATGTCGTTATCATGTCTCCCCTGACCCTCCTGTCCTCTAGTGTCATCAGGCCGATATCCCTTAACCTTTCTTCACAAGACATTCCCCTTAGCTCTGGAACTAGCCTTGTTGCAAATCTTTGCACTTTCTCTAATTTCTTGACGTGCTTGATCAAGTGTGGGTTCCAAACAGGTGCTACGTACTCGAGTATGTGCCTGACGTACACGGTGTACAGAGTCTTGATGATTCCTTACTAAGGTATCAGAACGCTGTTCTCAGGTTTGCCAGGCACCCGTATGCTGCAGCAATTGTCAGGTTGATGTGTTATTCTGGAGACATGCTCGGTGTTATACTCACTCCAAGATCTTTCTCTTTGAGTGAGGTTTGCAGTCTTTGGCCACCTAGCCTATACTCCGTCTGCGATCTTCTTTGTCCTTCTCCCATCTTCATGATTTTGCATTTGGCGGGGTTAAATTCGAGAAGCCAGTTGCTGGACCAGGTGTCCAGTCTGTCCAGGTCTCTTTGAAGTCCTGCCTGATCCTCACCTGATTTAATTCTCCATGACTCCATGTGTGTGTGTGTGTGTGTGTGTGTGTGTGTGTGTGTGTGTGTGTGTGTGTGTGTGTGTGTGTGTGTGTGTGTGTGTGTGTGTGTGTGTGTGTGTGTGTGTGTGTGTGTGTGTGTGTGTGTGTGTGTGTGTGTGTGTGTGTGTGTGTGTGTGTGTGTGTGTGTGTGTGTGTGTGTGTGTGTGACTTGTCTATTAGTTTAGTGAACAAAAGCATCAGATATGGGAAGCTGAGTGTTCATCATTCAACTCTGAGATGAATGGTAATAATGAGTTGGTTGAATCATTAACCTAATTAGAGCAACATACACACGTCCAGTATGTGTACATGAGTGTGCAACATGTACACACAAGTACTTACCTATAAGCACGTGGAGTGTGAGATTGACAGGAGGCGTGCAGGAGTTCATACATGTGTACACGCCAGCGTGGGCCACCTTAGCTTGTGGGCGCGTGAGCGTCACTTTGGCTATGGGCAGACCTATAGGCGTGGGCGTGGTGGTAGAGGCCGGGGTGGAGGTGGTGAGCGCGGGCGTGGGCGTGGGCGTAAGGGCAGATAGCGTGGAAGGCGGCTGTGATGCTTCATAAGTGGTTGACGTGGACGGAGGTGCAGTGGAGGAAGTTGAAGAGTCTGGAGGTGGCGTTGACGAGGTAGCAGTTACCTGACCCTCCTCCACCTGTGTTCCATCCTGGAGCTGTGAACACCATACAACATAAGTGAAGTATTGTGGACATCCAGGTGAGAGACATACTACTAAAGAACTGAATCTAAAGCCAAATTAGATCAATCACGTACTCTCCGTGGTGATCTACTGCCTCCAGTAGACAACTGAAAGAGGTCAGTTAATTTGCCAGGTATATACTGTCCCTCGAGAAACAATGTTCATATTTCTTAAATTTGACTCACCAAGATGGATACTCTCTCTCGCTTACTCTCACTCTCTCTCACTCTCTCTCACTCACTCTTTCTTCTTCACAGTTCTCTGCTACTGCTCTGCATACGTAATGAAATTAGCACAACAAATGTGGCCTAAGTAGCATCTGCTAATTTAATTAATGGGACTCCCTTCAGACGCTGCACGATCCAAGAAATGTATCCCCCCGTATCTCTTAAGTTCATCCCCCATGCTTCAGTATCCCCTGTATCCCTTAAGTTCAGCCCTCGTACCTCAGTGATCCCAGAAAGGTATCCCTGAGTCTCACAAGCCTAGCCTCCTGTATCTCAGTAATCCGAGTAAGGTATCCCTATAGATAGCAATAATGTAAGTAACAATCATGTAAGTAACAATCATGTAAGTAACAATCATGTAAGTAACAATCATGTAAGTAACAATCATGTAAGTAACAATCATGTAAGTAACAATCATGTAAGTAACAATCATGTAAGTAACAATCATGTAAGTAACAATCATGTAAGTAACAATCATGTAAGTAACAATCATGTAAGTAACAATCAAGTAAGTAACAATCATGTAAGTAACAATCAGTAAGTAACAATCATGTAAGTAACAATCATGTAAGTAACAATCATGTAAGTAACAATCATGTAAGTAACAATCATGTAAGTAACAATCATGTAAGTAACAATCATTAAGTAACAATCATGTAAGTAACAATCATGTAAGTAACAATCATGTAAGTAACAATCATGTAAGTAACAATCATGTAAGTAACAATCATGTAAGTAACAATCATGTAAGTAACAATCATGTAAGTAACAATCATGTAAGTAACAATCAAGTAAGTAACAATCATGTAAGTAACAATCATGTAAGTAACAATCATAAGTAACATCATAAGTAACAATCATGTAAGTAACAATGTAAGTAACAATCATGTAAGTAACAATCAAGTAAGTAACAATCATGTAAGTAACAATCATGTAAGTAACAATCATGTAAGTAACAATCATGTAAGTAACAATCATGTAAGTAACAATCATGTAAGTAACAATCATGTAAGTAACAATCATGTAAGTAACAATCAAATAAGTAACAATCATGTAAGTAACAATCATGTAAGTAACAATCATGTAAGTAACAATCATGTAAGTAACAATCATGTAAGTAACAATCATGTAAGTAACAATCATGTAAGTAACAATCATGTAAGTAACAATCATGTAAGTAACAATCAAGTAAGTAACAATCATGTAAGTAACAATCATGTAAGTAACAATCATGTAAGTAACAATCATGTAAGTAACAATCATGTAAGTAACAATCATGTAAGTAACAATCATGTAAGTAACAATCATGTAAGTGACAATCATGTAATATTCATGTAACAATCACGTAAGATAAGATAAGAGATAAGATAAGATTTCGTTCGGATTTTTAACCCCTGAGGGTTAGCCACCCAGGATAACCCAAGAAAGTCAGTGCGTCATCGAGGACTGTCTAACTTATTTCCATTGTGGTCCTTAATCTTGTCCCCCAGGATGCCACCCACACCAGTCCACTAACACCCAGGTACCTATCTGCTGCTAGGTGAACAGGACAACAGGTGTAAGGAAACGTGTTGAAATGTTTCCACCCGCCGGGAATCGAGCCCGGGCCCTCCGTGTGTGAAGCGGGAGCTTTAACCACCAGGCCACCGGGCCAGTAAGTAGCAATCATGTAAGTAACAATCATGTAAGTAACAATTATGTAAGTAACAATCATGTAAGTAACAATCATGTAAGTAACAATCATGTAAGTAACAATTATGTAAGTAACAATCATGTATGTAACAATTATGTAAGTAACAATCATGTAAGTAACAATCATGTAAGTAACAATTATGTAAGTAACAATCATGTAAGTAACAATTATGTAAGTAACAATCATGTAAGTAACAATTATGTAAGTAACAATCATGTAAGTAACAATTATGTAAGTAACAATCATGTAAGTAACAATTATGTAAGTAACAATTATGTAAGTAACAATCATGTAAGTAACAATCATGTAAGTAACAATCATGTAAGTAACAATTATGTAAGTAACAATCATGTAAGTAACAATTATGTAAGTAACAATCATGTAAGTAACAATCATGTAAGTAACAATCATGTAAGTAACAATTATGTAAGTAACAATCATGTAAATAACAATCATGTAAGTAACAATCATGTAAGTAACAATCATGTAAGTAACAATCATGTAAGTAACAATCATGTAACAATCATGTAAGTAACAATCATGTAACAATCATGTAAGTAACAATCATGTAAGTAACAATCATGTAAGTAACAATCATGTAAGTAACAATCATGTAAGTAACAATCATGTAAGTAACAATCATGTAAGTAACAATCATGTAAGTAACAATCATGTAAGTAACAATCATGTAAGTAACAATCATGTAAGTAACAATTATGTAAGTAACAATCATGTAAGTAACAATCATGTAAGTAACACTCATGTAAGTAACAATTATGTAAGTAACAATCATGTAAGTAACAATTATGTAAGTAACAATCATGTAAGTAACAATCATGTAAGTAACAATCATGTAAGTAACAATTATGTAAGTAACAATCATGTAAATAACAATCATGTAAGTAACAATCATGTAAGTAACAATCATGTAAGTAACAATCATGTAAGTAACAATCATGTAACAATCATGTAAGTAACAATCATGTAACAATCATGTAAGTAACAATCATGTAAGTAACAATCATGTAAGTAACAATCATGTAAGTAACAATCATGTAAGTAACAATCATGTAAGTAACAATCATGTAAGTAACAATCATGTAAAAATAACAATCATGTAAGTAACAATCATGTAAGTAACAATCATGTAAGTAACAATCATGTAAGTAACAATCATGTAACAATCATGTAAGTAACAATCATGTAACAATCATGTAAGTAACAATCATGTAAGTAACAATCATGTAAGTAACAATCATGTAAGTAACAATCATGTAAGTAACAATCATGTAAGTAACAATCATGTAACAATCATGTAAGTAACAATCATTGTAACAATCATGTAAGTAACAATCATGTAAGTAACAATCATGTAAGTAACAATCATGTAAGTAACAATCATGTAAGTGACAATCATGTAAGTAACAATCATGTAAGTAACAATCATGTAAGTAACAATCATGTAAGTAACAATCATGTAAGTAACAATCATGTAAGTAACAATCATGTAAGTAAACAATCATGTAAGTAACAATCATGTAAGTAACAATCATGTAAGTAACAATCATGTAAGTAACAATCATGTAAGTGACAATCTGTAAGTAACAATCATGTAAGTAACAATCATGTAAGTAACAATCATTGTAAGTAACAATCATGTAAGTAACAATCATGTAAGTAACAATCATGTAAGTAACAATCATGTAAGTAACAATCATGTAAGTAACAATCATGTAAGTAACAATCATGTAAGTAACAATCATGTAAGTAACAATCATGTAACAATCATGTAAGTAACAATCATGTAACAATCATGTAAGTAACAATCATGTAAGTAACAATCATGTAAGTAACAATCATGTAAGTAACAATCATGTAAGTAACAATCATGTAAGTAACAATCATGTAAGTAACAATCATGTAAGTAACAATCATGTAAGTAACAATCATGTAAGTAACAATCATGTAAGTAACAATCATGTAAGTAACAATCATGTAAGTAACAATCATGTAAGTAACAATCATGTAAGTGACAATCTTGTAAGTAACAATCATGTAAGTAACAATCATGTAAGTAACAATCATGTAAGTAACAATCATGTAAGTAACAATCATGTAAGTAACAATCATGTAAGTAACAATCATGTAAGTAACAATCGTCGAAGTTTGACTCAGAGAAGAAAAATTCCCTCAGGTATTCCGTGTCATTCATTATCTTCCTTCATCCCTTCATTCCTTCATTCCTTCATTCCTTCATTCCTTCATTCCTTCATTCCTTCATCCCTTCATTCCTTCATTCCTTCATTCCTTTATCCCTTCATTCCTTCATTCCTTCATTCCTTCATTCCTTCATTCCTTCATCCCTTCATTCCTTCATTCCTTCATTCCTTCATCCCTTCATTCCTTCATTCCTTCATTCCTTCATCCCTTCATTCCTTCATTCCTTCATTCCTTCATCCTTCATTCCTTCATCCCTTCATTCCTTCATTCCTTCATTCCTTCATCCCTTCATTCCTTCATTCCTTCATTCCTTCATTCCTTCATTCCTTCATTCCTTCATTCCTTCATCCCTTCATTCCTTCATTCCTTCATTCCTTCATCCCTTCATTCCTTCATTCCTTCATCCCTTCATTCCTTCATTCCTTCATCCCTTCATTCCTTCATTCCTTCATCCCTTCATTCCTTCATTCCTTCATTCCTTCAACCCTTCATTCCTTCATTCCTTCATCCCTTCATTCCTTCATTCCTTCATCCCTTCATTCCTTCATTCCTTCATTCTTGCACTAAAATGAAAGAATATTCACATTAGTTCAGTCTGAATAAATTTTGCATCTAGCAGCTTAGTGATGGTACATTCGTCTCACAAGGGAAACGACCCGTGCTCAAGCCCCGGGCAAGGTGAGACACGTGCAGATCTTCTCACACCTGTTACCCCTTGTCCACCCAGCTGTCAGTGGACTCTAAGGAGTTAACCGACTGTTGTGGGTCGCATCCTGGGTGTGAGGACTTAAGCATCCCCCCATAATATAAATAACCCAAACTGCTTGGCTTTC